CCTCTTTGCCAGGTGTGACCTCAGAACTCGGCCGGCGGCTGTCCTTGCGTCTTCGCGTGTCAGCCCTTTGAAGGTCGCATTCCTGTCCCGGTCTGTTTCCTTTGTTCTCCTGCCCTCAGGACGGTCCGAGTGATAACTCGCATGCTGGGCCGTCCTAACACTTTGTATATCTACTAACATCTCGGATGTCTTGGTCGTGCACAGTTGAATGGGTCATGACATGGTGAATATGACTTATAAGCCGCCCCCCCTCCTCCACCCCCCAAGAACAGGACACGAGAAGAGGAATCGCTCGCAATACAGGCCAAATTCCAAAATAGGGTCACGGGAACGATTACGTTTATGGTTAGGTTCAACGTTAGGGTAAATGCCATGAAAAATAAGGTTAGGTTATCATTAGCGTTAGGATTAAGATGAGCATTAAGGTAGGTTAGGGCTTCGTGAAGGAGTGACATTACAGGTTGTGTTAACTGTATGGTTAGGGTTTAGGATATGGCTAGGGGTAGTATTGGGGTTTTGGATTAAGTCTCTGTTTGGGTTAAAACTCGTGAATAGTTGCCCTTCCTTAGATTAGGCGCAGGGCCAACCTTATTACGTGGGTGGGGCGTTCCCTTTAACGTCTTTTGATTATTGGGACAGGTAAGTAACCATTACCCATGACTTCGCAAAATTTTCAATCGCCCCGCATATGGTTTAGTTTAAAAAAGCATTCTAAGCTGCTTATTTTTATTTCAGACGTCCCCTTGAAGAAACGTACGCTTTCGACTATTCATCCTCAGACCTTTACAGTTACAAGAGCTCAAAATAGCAGATGAACAGTAACAGTATGTCGGAGAGGGTTAAGAACGTTCAGATTGTCGGGTGGTCAGGGACTTGGGGTTCTTAGGAGTTGTGTACAGCAACTCAGCTCGGGGTCTGCGCGCGCGCGCGTCTGTCTGCTAGCCTTATGTGGGGGCGTTAATGTGTAAACATCATGCTAGAGTGAGTCACTGGCCGCTTGTTCAACTGCTGGGCCTGTGATTGGCTGTCCCAGAGGCCGGACGATAACTATAATCACGTGAGCTCTTGCCTGACATGGCGCCGGAAATTGAAAGCGTTACACAGCCGCTTCGATAGGCCCCCAGTCCTTGAATCAATATAACGCCTAACGCTACACATCCATATTTTAAGTGCCATTATGCATTTGTCTGGTAATTCTGCAAATATTCTCATTTTATGATTGATAATTCATGCTGGCAAACATATGTTTTCGGCAATTAATCATCGGGCTAGTACAATGCAAGGACAAAATGGTCAGTTATAGGTGGTGTAGTTATTAAAATGTTTTTCGAGGTAGGGGGTGGGGATGGTGGTTTAATTAGTCGTCGTGGTGTTCCCTCGTCTCACGCATGCGGGTTCTATTCTGTTGGTGGCGTTGGGTCCGGGAAGCAGGGAAGAGGGGTGGGAAGGGGTGTTCTCACTGTCGGCGTGCGTAGTTGCGCATGACCTCTGTTCTGGCGGCGCGGTATTCA